TCTTGGAGCTCAGCCTCACCTTCTGGAATGACGAGGGAGCGGCGCAGTAGCTGCAGCGTATTTTGGCGCTGGACGTCCTTCTGAGCAGGACTCAGTGGCTGGTAGGGATCCAACTGAGGTGCAGTCTGGAAAAAAAAAAGATCAAGTTTCAAAAGGAGAAAATACCCCACCTGCATTCATTTTGGATTGAAAAAAAATTAGACAGAGTTGGTTTTTAAGGTATCAGTTTCTAAATTAGTTCATGCATTATTCTTTTCAGGAGTTCAAGTGGAGCCAATCCCACTGGACCAAGGTTCACCGGAGTCACACCTATCGTCAATTAATCTAACTTTGCAAGTTTTATGACGTGAAAGGAAACCAAAAGTTCCCTGAGAACACTGAAGCACACACAAGAAGAACTTATAAAAAAAAAACCACCCGGAAAGTGTACGAATGACGTTCTGTAAGGCAGGACACTGACCGCTTCTTCCACTGTGTGGACCAACACAATTCAAGAATTTAGGTGTGTGGTCATAATATGAGAAAACAAACTCTAGAGGCTTCAAAGCCTTAGATGGAAACAGTGAAGATTATTCACACTAAAGCCCTGTTGTCATCAGTTAAAAATTTAGATTTATGAGAGCTGACAGGAAGCAGCATGTGCACACAAGGTTGTGCTCCGGGCCCCGAGCTAATGGATGGGGTCAAAAGGATCCAACTTTATAGAGCTGCACTACAGATAAATCCAAACAATCTGTGTGTTTTCATACCTTTGTTCCTTTGGTGTTTTTATGGCTCAGCTCGCAGCTACATTTTGGACACACTTCAGGTTTGTGTCTGTTCTTGTAAATGTAATCGCAGGATGGGTTTTTACACCGACCTCTACCCCGGGCGGTGGACAGGCCCAGGTCCTAGGACCACAGGAAGTAAACAAATGACACAAGACAGGATCAGACCCAAACTTATATGAAACAATTTGTAGCAGGTGTAATTCCTGATAAAAATGTTTTTTACTGACAATGCTGGAGACAGTGCTTTGTTTGAAAGGCACCACTGACAGGAGGTTGACTCTCCCATCTGTCAGTGAAGATGCAGGCTGGAATCCATCTGCTGACACCGGAGAGTCCTTTGGAAAGACATGAAGAGAGAGGAAACTATAAATATGATTCATTACTCTGAGTGTATACTGTATGTCTGTGCGTTTGTGTGCACGAAGTTACCTCTAAGATTGCTGGGACAATTTGGCCGAGCTGCTTTAAGGTGCTAGGTTTAAGGACTGAGAAAGTATCTTTGGCTCCTGCTGCTGCTGATACAAAAAGAGAAAAATGTGTATTATTTGTACATACAACAAACTACTTGGAATTAATAACTTGAGTGCAATAATTCTAATAAGAAAGCAACACAACAGTACCAGTTACTGAGTAGTTGCTGTTTGCAGCCTGATGTTTTTCTTCGTTTGGTGGAACCGTTATGATCTGAAACACAGCACGACCTGAAAATATAAAAACATAAACATCTAAATCTGGGCAAACGTAGAGGAGAAAATATCCTTCACTTTGCTGGATGTCATATTTTACCTGTGTTATAGTAGGCAGGTAGAATGGGTCTGACAGGCCTCTTCTGAACAATAGCGACTGTTCTGCCTGGGACCGAGGTTCCTTTTGTTTGGTTTTTTGTTTGTCTTAACAGCAACACCATGTTACGTTTGCTAGAGCACAAAAAGGTTATGCAAATAGATTTTAAACAAAAGAGTCACTTTGTATATAAACTGAAAACTCGACTCTGAGAACACATGGTCAGCACGTTATTGTTGAAACGACCTATAAAAAACCAAACACTCTCTCTTCTAGATAGTTACACTGGTAGTTATGTCACTCACGTTTCATTCTGGGCCTTGCTGCTGCTGCCCTCTAGTGGCTGTCGAGTTGAAGGTCCACACGGTTTCCTCAACTGACCTTCCTTTTTACTTTCATTGGGGTCTTTTATACCATCATCATCATTCCCCACTTGTGTAGGGGGCTGAGTGATTTGGCTGCTTCCATCAGGACTGGTTTCAGGTTTTCCTACAAGCTGTTTTTTTTTCTCCCTTGCCTTTTTCGTCTGAAAAGAAAAAAAATAATAAAACTGGTTATTCATGTTGGTAAGGTTTAACAAAACGTTTTTAAAGTACTTCATTACTTACAACAGGAATCCATTTACCACCTAAATGAGTCCCACATTCAGGGCACGTTGGTGGCTTGTGGCGGGTGACATACACAAATGAACATGCAGGATTCAGACACCTCCCTCGTCCTCGCCTGGTGTATGTCTTCACAGACTGGAGAGAACAGGAAAAAACAATCCTAATTATTGTAGTTATATAATATTAGGTTATAGTTAGGGATTCCATTTTATAAAACTGGATGCCGTAGATGAAATGAAAAGATGAATAAAAAAGACCTAAATATTTTTAACAGCTGAAAAGACTGATTAAGTCTGATTAAGTAGCAATCTTTTTGGTTTTCGGCAATGATTGCAACCATTACTGCCCTCACGTGGCCCAAATAAAAATCTCACCTTCTGAGGAACTGAAAAAAAAGGTCACTATTGAGAAGCTGTAGTTCGTTATTGCTTACCATTTTATACGAAGGTTTAGAATTTTGTTCTACTTTAGCTCCTACAGGCACCATCATCATGGGGGTCATGGAGCTCACATCCACCTTGGGCTGCATCAGTCTCTGAGTCTGTGACAATAATAATAATAATAATAATAATAATATAATAAATAAAATAATTGTTATTATTAATTGTAATAATGTATTCTCCTGTTATTTACAAGTAGTGTATTAGAAATGAACCCAGTGATTTCCTAACCTGGGAGGGTATGATGGCGACTACCTTTGTGGATTCTCCCTGTACTTGTTGCACCATGGCCCAGCTATATCCACTGGTCCCTGCTATAGACTCATTTTCTTTCAATGAGACCTGCCGGTCAGCGCTGGCAGCCTTGGATATGGTGGCATCGGAAGAAGACGGTAGTTGTCCTTGAACAGCTGAACGAGAGTCTTCTGTCACATGTTCTGCTGAGTCCTCAACAGTGACAGAAAATTCAGAAAGTTTTGCCTCACTAGCCGCACCTAGATGTGTCAGCTGGGCCTCTTGGCTGAGGGAGACCGAAGGCAGGTCAGATCCAGTTGGAGGTTCAGGTGACTCCACGTTGTTCTTCAAGTGAGAGCCTTCAAGCTGGTGTTTTGAAGGACAGCTTTTAGACAAGAGGACGTAGCTCGCTCTGGGAAGAATCTTGCGGAAGCCCGGAAGATCTTTGAAGGGTCTCATTGAGGACTAAAAAAGATAAAACATTTGTTAAAATATTCAGAAATAAACAAAGTAGAACTATTGACAGTTCATTTTTTATTTCATTCAAGCTGCACAAATACATTTGAAATATTCATAATAGAATTAAAGATTTTATAACTAACTGTATCTGTGCCCTCCTTCTCGGACTTTGCCTTCTCCAGGTAGTAGGCTTTTTCAGCCACGTTCAGCCTTTTCCAACTCTCACTTATACGTTTGTTGATCTCAGATTGAGGCAGATTAGGTATCTCCTGTTGAATAATCGGGTGCACGTCAAAGTAGTACAGCAGGTAGGCAGACCTGAGACAGAGTCATAACAATCACGTCATGGCACAGTTGCATTCAACAGCTGCTAATTTAAGTGATTGGTCAGTGTGATTACCTGGGCTTTTTGGGTTTTTCTAAGTCCTCTTCCTGACTTTTGCTCTTCCTTTTTTGGGGGGTGGACACTTCTGTTTGGTTGTAGCAGTCCTTCATGTCCTCGTTCTCCACTTCATACACTTCTACATTCTCCATAATTTCCAATGACCTGCAGAAAATGAAATAAAAGCAAAGGCAACATTGTGTATGATCTCAGAATGAAAAAATACATCTCGGTGTTCACCTAACAATAAGTTATTCAAATACAAATATTAACATTGTGTGAAATATGTTAGCACTTGTGTTACTTTATTTAGCCTTAGACCTCTTTAAAGTACATGAGTGATTATTTTTCATATTTTGATTTGGACAGGAGATTCTGTCACCACTGCCAGAAAAACATCGAAAATAGCCTCGGATTGATGGCCTTCTGAATAGCTCTGATATGGGGTGTTATAACAACTACGTATGTGGCTGCATGTAGGTACATAATAAAAAGAGAACTGTATCCAACGATGTGACAGTTAAGCTTTAAAATAATGCAGAAGTATCAAGCGCAGAGACCGCTCTGTTTAAAGCGCCAACATATTAAATACGCTGTTCCTTCCCAGCCTTAAATGTAGGTTTAATGGCGTGTGTTTATACTGCCTGTACAGTCACAGTTGTCCAATGAAATGCCTTCTTGTTGAAGCCTTACGTATGGAGGCCGGCGATTCAGGAACCGGTCAGAACAACGTGTAGAACTTGCTGAAAAATGTCATATATCCAACCGATAGAAGATACAATGGTAAAGCGTCAACATTTTAAGTTGAAATAAAAAAATGTGATACATTTTTGTTTTTAAATCGGTTTCATCAATCGTCGACTACCAAGAAACATGGCGACTTCATTGCTATAGACTTTAAGCAATCAGATTCTAGAATAAACAACGGCGGCCCAATCATATAGGACGTTTTTGACACGTGAAAGCAGTGCGTGCGTGAAGAGGGACGCACGCTGGTCACAAGCTAGATTTTACACCAGTGATACTGTCGCCATCTAGTGGGGCATACGTGATACAATGAAAAATGCTATTAGTCAAAAAATGTTTTAGTTCAATTTTCATTTTTTGTCCCTCTCTATGTTACTGTTGACAAAATGCACTCCCTTTGAATAGTATTATATTTCAACTTTTTTCAAATATTATTGATGTATTTTATCATAAGTAACAACAATTAAAACACATTTTGCATTCTAAACACGAAGGGAAAAAGCGGAGAGGTCATCATTTAAAAACGTATTTAAAATACTTTAACCTTTGTCTATTATAAACTAAACTATTAAATACAGATCAAGCAATCGATCTCAATCGAGTAAATCCGCGTTTAGGCTGATGAGTCGAATACCGAGTACTCCACCGAGCAAAATGGCGAATGACAAGGTGAGTTTCTGTTCTTCAAATACGTACACTTCACTTGTTCCGGCGAATGACAGTATTGACAAGTATGATAAGTATGTGAAAACACATTTTATCTCAACAGCACTGCCTACGTGATTTTGTTAAATTAACATAACGTTTTGTTTACATGGCGTTTTGTTCTGATCCCGAGTTTTTGAGCTAAACTACAAAGTTCGAGAAAATCTATTCAGCTGTATTTAGGTTGAGAAATCTGTTCTCAGTCTTATACTGCATAACCTGGTGTTGTTGTTAGTCTCATTAATGCAGACTCTCTCGTTTTTGTCCAGCTATGTTCTGCCTTTTCTGCCGATTCAAGTGTTTTTATTTACTTGTCAGGACCCATTAAAACAGCTGAAAGATCTGACGCAGCTCAAAAACCAACTGGAGGAGATTCAGAGGAGAGTGGAGAACGAGATTTCTGCAGGAATCCCTCAGGTCAGTGGTTTTCACTGTGGTGCTGCAATTATCAACTTTTTGTAAACGAGTTTAATGACCAATACATTTTCTTTAGTCCGTATCAGACACAACTGAAGTTTTTATCTCCCTAAATAAATTTTGTTTTTGTATTTGCTACAAATCCTACCGTTAGACGATAAAAAGCTAATTATTTTTATACTATAGTACCTTTTTATTGTGCAGAGGTTCAGCTTCACCCTCACATCTTCATGTTTCCACTCTGGTCTGTGTCCACTTGTTTCTCTCCTGCAGGGAGGCTCTGTACTAGGATCTCCGTTTCTGAAAGGCTTTCTGGCTGGTTATGTGGTAGCCAAGCTCCGCTCCTCGGCCATTCTGGGACTGGTGATTGGAACATGTACTGGCATATATGCAGCACAGAACTATCAGGTGCCCAACATTGAACAGACAGTCAAAGAATATATGAGGAACATTAAGAAAGGACCAAAGTAATGTTTGGTTTGACTGCTCTCCATCCACCTTTTGCTGTGGAACAAAAGGAAATGTAATAACTGGAAGATCGAATTTCTTGGGACTCAGATGTTACAGACTGGATTTTTTTTCTCATTTTGTTTCATATTTAGTTGTGTTTTTTCACTTCACCACCTGTAAAATTTTATTCAGGGTTATTTTTCAAAACAAAATCTTGTTACTTGTCATTAATCTTTTGCTTAAGGTTTATTAGATTTTGAATATTTGGATATAGACAATTTTTTTTTTCCTTTTTATCGTCCAAAGAACATGTGCAGCGCCAAACTATAAGAGTAACAAAATTCCAGTCCCTATAAATATTTTTGAACTATTTAAGATATGTAGCCGTTGTTTGACAAAGACGTCCTAATGTTTCAGGGGTTTTGCACTATATTTTATCCTTCAAAGTTGTTCAGACATTAAAAGGTGTTTATTCTGCCGTCACTGAATATGATTGTGATCCATGCTGAAGAGCTGGAGTCTCCCTTGAGGAGAAGGAGACGGTGGATTTGGAGGATCCAGTGGTGTTTCCTGTTGGGACTGATGGTCCTCATCTACGGCTCTCACGCTCCACTCATCAACCTCACCAAAGTGAACGGCCGAGTTCCATTTAGTTCCTCATCATGCGTCGTCTTGATTGAGTTCACTAAACTCATCGTCTCTCTGGTAACTCTTCTTTTAACTGAGGGTACATCTGCCTTACGTACTCCCCCTGCTCTCCTCGCTGTGGCCCCCTATGCGGTGCCTGCTGTACTCTATGCCTTCAACAACAACCTGGTGGTCTACATGCAGGCCTACATGGACCCCAGCTCTTACCAGGTCCTGTCTAATCTTAAAATAGCCTCCACTGCCCTGCTCTACTCTTTCTGTCTGAGGAAGAGGCTGCGGGCCGCTCAGTGGTTGGCGCTGGGGCTCCTCATGGGTGCAGGTGTTTGTCACAGTTACAGCAGCTTAGATTTCGAGGACCTCGAGAGGGAAGGTGAAACTGGAGACGGTGCAAGGCTTCACATCACAGCTTGGGGCCTTTTCTTTGTGTTTGTTTACTGCTGTGTTTCAGGACTGGCAGCGGTCTACACAGAGAAGGTGCTGAAGAGCCAGAAGACGCCCCTCAGCCTGCAGAACCTCTACCTCTACGTCTTTGGCGTGCTCATTAATGTCGTCTCCTCCTTTTCATCAAGCGAAAAGAGCTTTCTAGAAGGATACTCTGCAACAGTTTGGCTCATTATAGCCGGCCAGGCGGCTAACGGGCTGTTGATGTCTGTGGTGCTGAAGCACGGCTCCGGGATCATCAGGTTGTTCATCATTTCCTGTTCCATTCTGGTGAACGCTGTGCTGTCCTGGGCTGTGTTAGGGCTGCAGCTCTCGCCTGTCTTCCTTCTTCCTGTGTCCATGATCGGACTGGCCGCTTATCTTTATTACAAATAGGAGATGAGGAGGTGCTGTCATGTCAAACAGAAGTCTCAGTCTTATATTGGAACTGTTTTTTGGCTTATTTCGAACTTTGTTTTCTGCCTTGGTCTGAACTGTTTTCAAAAACTCATACATTAGTCTGTTTTAAACCTTATTTTAATTTATTCTCAATTTAAACCCAGTGCAGGTTGATATTTTATCTTTGGTACAACATTTTAAAAGAGTGCTGCTATTGTCATGTTTTATTCTGTTTCTACCAGAATTATTATCTATGGTAAAGTGTTACTCACTGTTCGACCTGTGACCAATAAATGCTCTGAAACTGTTCTGTGTACCGTGGTTTGATTAGATTCCATCTGAAATCGTTTTATTGTTGAGTCCGTTCGACCTCAGGATCCGCCCTCACTGCTAGAGCATCCTTTAACTCTCCCAGTGCTGCAGAGGAGTAAAAGTACAAATTAATTTAATGTAACTGGAGATCTTTTCCAAACATTTTCCTTCAAATGACTCCACTCTAATGTGAGTTCAAATCCACCGGCCTTTCTGCAGCTGTTTGTTTTCAGCCTGGAGCTGCTGGTTCTGGGCAGAGAGGTGGACTGCGTCCTGCACGGCCTCCAGCAGCACGTTTCTGTATCTGCCCTCTGACTGTTCCCTCTGCTCCTCGCTCACCTGACGGAACATCCTCAACACCTGCAGAGCAGGAAAGACACAGTGATGTGATGGCACTGAAGTTTGCCTATCGATTAATATTGACTGTACAGCAGTTGTGTGAGAGAATACTGTAAATAAGGAAAACTGTAAAAATGCATTGGGGTTGGTTATTACATTATTTTTTTTTTGCTGGAGTAGAGAAAATTCAGTTTTCCTTATTTGGTGAGAAATTTAGTTTCTTCTGTTGATGTGTTTGTCTGGTTGGTGTGGTGTAAATAATCCTATCTACCAAAGGGGGCACTGCAGAAAAGCTTTGGAAACCACACATGTAATCTAGCACTGCAGAAAAGCTTTGGAAACCACATATGTTAGGAGAGGCACTAGCCCATCTAATACCACGTGACATCATGTATAAATAATTAAAAATTAAAAAAAAAAAATACCAGTTGACAACACTTTGAAAATCATTTCAAAACCAGGGCAAATGCATTTTTAAGTTTAAAAAAAAAAAAAAGACCAGTTGACAACACTGAAAATCATTTCAAAACAAGGGTTTTCTAACAAGTTTTCTCTAACTGAGAAAGTCATCATCGTGTCACAGGTGCAGCAGACCCCCCACCTGCAGACTCTCCTCTCTCAGACAGTTTAGCTCCTTCTGGTGTCTCAGGTACTGGTCCTCCAGGTCTGTCTCAGTCTGCAGGGCCTCGATGCGTAAAGCTTCCATCTGCATCACAAGGACCTGCCTCTCTCTGGACAGAACCAGCAGCTCCCTCTCAGGGTCTTCAGCCTGCAGAGGAGGAGACGAAGACAAAAGGGAACGAGAGAAAAGGAGAAAATCGGAGGATTACGTTTCAAA